AAGCCGGGGTAATGTCAAGGGGGAGAAAAAGGAGACATGTGTAATACTCTTTGTAATACTTTAAGAAATAAAAAAAAACCTCATCTACAAAATGGGGATAACCTTCCAAAGTTGTCAAAATCAAACACTAGCTGTGTGAACTAGGGCAAGTCACTTCACCTCTCTCTGAGCCTGTGAGTTCAAATTTAAATAATAAAGAAAGTTTAAGGCCCATAGTGAGAATCAAGCCTGACATAGCAAATAATAAATGTTAGCTACCAAAAAAAGAAAAGACTTTCGGGTCTGCAACCCGGCAAGTTATCATTAAACATGGAACAACTCAAAGAACCCAACTGAGACACCCTTCGGAATAAGACCCTGTCGTCTGTGAGCCCAAAGCCTAAGAACAAGTCTAGGCACAGAGTAGGGCCTACTCTGTAGGCGCTCAGGTTTTCCAAATGACAGAGTCCCTTCCAGTCCCCCCGCCTCCAGGGTCTAGTCCTACCGGCGCCCAGTCGGAACCGGGCCACAAAGTGGGGTCGGCGCGCTTCCACTCACCCGTAAGGCCAAAGCACTCCTCTTTCCAGTACTTGGACTCATAGATTCGAGTCCGAATGATCTTCTCCACCAGATACTGCGGGTTGGTGCCGTGAATGCTGTGGGCATCCTTCACCGTGCGGTTCGCCATTTTAGAACGCTTTCAGTTCTATTTCCGTCGGGTCCTTTAGTGCGTCATATCCCGGTTAAAAACACACACAAAACAGATACGAAGAAAGATGGAGGAAGTCTCCTTTAAAAAGCTCACGTTACCAGCTAGAAATCGGAAATGCTGCAGCGTAGGGAACTTCCTGCCCCGATAGAATCAAGAACGGCCGCTGCACGTAGGCGTGCCTACGTCATGCGTCCTCTCTTAGGTAGGCGGGACATAAGTGGGCGGGACTCCGGGTTAGGGAGGCGGGACAGGGGGGGCGGGACTCCGGGTTAGGTAGGCGGGGCATAAGGGGGCGGGACTCCGGGTCAGGTAGGCGGGACAGAAGGGGGGCGGGACTCCCGGGAAGGGAGGGCGGGACAGAAGGGAGGGCGGGCTGGTGACGCAACTAGGAGACAGCCTCGGGGCGGGGCTTCGACATTCGGCGCGAAAATTTCTCTTCACCTTCATTCCATCGCTAGTGAGGATCCCGTTTCCGCTGCCCGCGCGGCCCCTTGGCTGCTAGAGGAGTCCAGCTGGTGCAGGTGAGCGTTACTGCAGCTCCACGAGCTCCTGCAGCAGGGACGGTGGGACGTGGAGGACTTGCTCCTCGCTTCAGGAAGGTTCGGCCCGCGGTGCGTGTGGCGGCCCGCGGGCTGGAGGGGGACTGAGCCGCGGGGACTGAGGAAGTTGTTCTCTGTCGACTCGGCCATTGATTAATTCAGCAGATACTTACTAAGCGACTGCTGAGTGCCAGGCAGCTCCTAAGCCCGTTAGGAGCGTCCCTTCCGCGCATCCCGGTTGCTGAAACACTTTGGGCCCCGCCGGGGGCTGCGCGTCGGCGGTGGGAAAGCCGGAAGCCGGCCGCAGAGCCGCGTGAGCGCTCCTGCCCGCAGGGCCCCGAGGCTCTGGGTACTGATCTCAGCCGTCCCTGCGGCCTGCATCGCTCCGGTGAAGCAGCGCGTCCTTTCTCCTTGGAGCCATGGTGTGGCAGCACCACAGGGAGGGGAATAGCAGCAGAAGTTGTTATCCCATTTTACGGAGGTAGCAGGTGCTCCTAGAGAGAGACTTGTCTAGGTTGCCCCCACCCCGGTCGTGCTGCGCTTACCTACCTCTCCTGCTTCCCGTAAACTTACCCTAGAACCGAAGGGCCTTCTGTCTTGACAGCTGGGAAAAGCGCTGGACTGAGAGGCATGAGATAGAGAGATTCTCATCCTGGTTTACCGTCTGTGAAAGTGCAATGATTAAATATGCCAGTTTTCCATTTCTGTGGTCTGTAGAAGTGGAATCCCGTCCCTGCTGCAAGGGGTACTTGGCGGTTTCTGATGTGAGAACATGGTGTGCCAAGTTCCTCTGCAACAATCCTTAAAACCACAGCAGAGGGCAATACGTGGACTTTCGAAGGTTTATGAATCATCTGAAATTGAGTGCAAAATTTTGTGTGAATTGTATGTGAGTTTCATAAGATCAAATTAGTGAAAAACAATAATAACAACAACAACAGCCCTGACCGGTTTGGCTCAGTGGATAGAGCGTGGGCCTGCGGACTGAAGGGTCCCAGGTTTGATTCTGGTCAAGGGCATGTACCTGGGTTGCGGGCACATCCCCAGTGGGGGGTGTGCAGGAGGCAGCTGATCGATGTTTCTCTCTCACTGATGTTGCTAACTTTCTATTCCTCTCCCTTCCTCTCTGTAAAAAAATCAATAAAGTATATATTAAAAAAAAAAATAACAACAACAAAAGAGGACCACTGTCCTTACAAATAGAACAAGGAGTTAGGAAGTGAGCGAGTGGATTTACCATTTTGCATTCTTCCCTTAATCCTAGAACACTGCCTGGCACACAGTGGGCAGTTAATACATATTGGTTGAATAAAAGGAGGTTCTGTTACTATTCCATTTTATGGATAAGGAAACCAAGGCCCATTTGGCCTCTCAGTCAGAGTCTGGGAAGCCTGACTTATTGTAATAAGCACATCAGAAGTAAGCTCTCGGAGGCATATATTTAACATTGTTCACTTGCACATACAGTGAAGTGGTTAAGAGCAGTCATTAGAATCCCGCCGCTCAGGGTTTGAATTAAGGCTGTGCCATCCTGTATAACATGGGGACAAGTTACTGTTTTGAAGCAATAGTAGCATCTATCACTCAGCAAATACTTATTATTAAGAGCCTTCTGTGCACTTGGTACTATGTACTAACATTGTTCTAGGATTATTATGAGGACTGAGATAAATATATGAAGAGTTTTGGCTCCGCCTTCTGTCATATTAGCTCAGTAAATATCTGCTATCATTTTTACTGCAACTCCATCTGTTTTCCTTGGGTGTGACCCCTGGACTGGATGGTGTGAATGTTCCAAATTTCTGCTCTCTGTAACATTGAGAGTCTGTAGTGGGTACCTTCTAGAAGCCAAAGCCTTTGCTAGGCTAAGTCAGGCCTCTCGTTTTATTTACCCCATTTATCACCCTTCTGTGGAATCTCTCTGTTGATGGTGGTTGAGATGAAATGCTGGGTCAAGGGTAAGAAAGTGAGGTAATGGCTCAGAAGCCTGGCATCTATGATGTCCTTATGCTACCTCTTCAGGACTCCTGCTTAATTTTTTGAACTTTTCATTGAAAAATAGCATACATACAGAAAAGTGCAGAAATCATGAATGTGCAGCTCAATGAGTTTTTATTGTTTGAATATAGATATTTAAAATATGTTTATTGATTTCAGAGAGGAAGAGAGAGAGAAAGAGAGAAACATCAATGATGAGAGAGAATAATCTATTGATTGCCTCCCGCACAGCCCCTACTGGGGATGAAGCCCTGACTGGGAATCAAACCATGACCTGGTTCATAGGTCGATGCTCAACCACTGAGCCGCACCTGCCAGGCTGAATATATTTTTATTTTATAATCTCTTTCACCTAATCATCGAATTTTAGAAATAACATGTCAATAAGTTTTCTTAGGGAACATGCCCATGCAATCAGCATCTAGAATCTAGATGATCTAGATCAGTGGTTCTCAACCTTCCTAATGCCTCGACCCTTTAATACAGTTCCTCATGTTGTGGTGACCCCCAACCATAAAATTATTTTCGTTGCTACTTCATAACTGTAATTTTGCTACTGTTATGAATCGTAATGTAAATATCTGATATGCAGGATATATTTTCATTGTTACAAATTGAACATAATTAAAGCATAGTGATTAATCACAAAAACAGTATGTAATTATATATTCAATATGTGTTTTCCGATGGTCTTAGGCAACCCATGTGAAAGGGTCGTTCGACCCCCAAAGGGGTCGCGACCCACAGGTTGAGAACCGCTGATCTAGATGATCTAGATTCTAGATCAAGAAACAACGTGACCAGCATCCCAGAAAAACCCTTTCATGCTCCCTTTCAGTTACCTATGTTACCTTCCATTCAGACTCCTAACACTATAGATTACTTTTACCTGTTTTTGAATGCTATATAAATGGACTAAATATAGTATGTATTCTTTTGGCGTCTGACTTCTTTAGTTCATTGTTATTTTGTGAGGTTTTCCCCACTTTGTGCTTGGCTTAATTTCATTGCTTTATAATGCTGTTGTGAACATTCTGGCTCATGTATTTTGATGATAGGTATGTTTTTCTGTTGGGTAAGTTGTATTGGAATTGTTGGGTCATAGGATACGCATACGTTTAGCTTTAGTAGATACTGCCAATTTTCCAAAGTAGTTTTGCCAATTCACATGCCCTCCAGCAGTGTATGAATTCTGGCTGCTCCACATCCTTACCACACTTGGTATTCCCCTAATCATTTTCACATATTCATTTGTTCATTCACCTGTTATGTGCCAAGTTCAAAGGATGCAGTGATGAACAAGAGAGACAAGGTCCCAAGATCTCTGCTCTTTTGTAAGACAACATTCGGATATGGGAAACACTACATAAGAAAGTAATGTCATGGCTATTGCTTTGATAATAGGGTGGTGTAATGGAACGTGAACCTGAGGGGCAGTATAAGGGACAGGGTGGGCGACTGTCCATTGTGTATTAGTGAAGGCCTCTGAGGAAGTCTCACTGGAGCTAAGACTTGAGCCATCCCTATAGAGATTTTCAGGAAGAGTCTGAGTGCACTAATAGCTTTGGTCTGTTTGAGGTTTGGAAAAGCAGGCCTGGAGCAGTGATAGACCCAGGCGAGGCAGGTTATGTACAGGCCCACAGAGTCTTCGTTCCTATACCCTCTGACTGCTGAGCCGCGGGTGCATCACCCACACTGTACACATATATGCCTATACAGTAGTCCCCCTTATCTGCAATTTCACTTTCCAAGGTTTCAGTCACCTCCTTTAACTGTGGTCTGAAAATATTAAGTGGAAAACTCCAGAAATACAAATTTATGTTTTGAATTGCACATGGTACTTAGTAGTGTAGTGAAATCTTGCACTCTTCTGCCCAGAACTGAATCATCCTTTGTCCAGCGTATCCAGGCTATATGGGCTACCCACCTATTAGCTGGCTCAGTTATCAGATTGATTATCAGATATTTTGAAAGAGAGAAAGACCACATTCACATAAGTTATACTACAGTATATTATTATAATTGTTTTATTATTGTTGTTAATTTCTTACGGTGCCTAATTTATGAGTTAAACTATATCATACGTATGTAAATATAGGAAAGAACAGTATATATGTATAGGGTTGGGTATCCACGGTTTCAGGCATCCACTGGGGATCTTCAAACATCCTCTGAGGATAAGGGGAACTACTGCACTTGGTCTCATTGAACATAGATAATGATCTAGAAAAGGAATGTTAAATTTTATCTTGACTTGGTTTTGAAGGATACCTACTTTAGTCAGCTAAAATATTGCCTGGATTTAAGAGTTGAGAGTATGGATTTGATGCCTTAACTAGACACGATTAAGTACTTTATTGGTATGGAAATGATCTACTCTGCCAAATTTTTGTTTGAAACATGAGATCATTGTGACAGTGTAATCAAATATCATAGTCAAAATGACAAATCAGGCCATTAGATTATTTAAGAGTTGTAGAGCCCAGGCCAGTGTGGCTCAGTTGGTTGAGCGTCTCCCCATGCACCAGGCGGTCGCTAGTTTGATTCCTGGTCCAGGTTGCAGGCTCAAGCCCCAGTAGGAAACATGCAGGAGGCAGCCAATCAATGGTAATATACTATTCTAATTCTGTTGTTTTCAACATAGACTGCAGTTATTGGTCCTGCTATCAGTCATTTGGAGTAATTTTGTCAGACTGCATTAAAAATTCTTTTTACCCCAGTTTTGTCAAATTTTAGCTTCATAAGAAAAGCATTGAATTTAGAGGAAAGGCTTATTTTTCTTATTTATTTATTTTTGTTGTCAGTTACAGTTAATATTCAATATTATTTTATACTAGAGGCCTGGTGCACGAATTCGTGCACAGGTGGGGTCCCTCAGCCTGGCCAGCAATCAGGGCCAATAAGGGCCAGCTGGCCAGGGGGGAGGGACCGCGGGAGGTTGGCTGTGGGAGTGCACTGAACACCAGGGGGCAGCTCCTGCATTGAGCATATGCCCCCTGGTGGTCAGTGTGCATCATAGCCACCAGTCAACTGGTTGTAATGGTCACTTAGGATTTTATATATATAGATTCATTTCAGGTGCACAGCAGAGTAGTTAGACACTTATTTATATAAGATTTATTTTCTTCAGTGGGGGAAAAAGGAGACATATGTAATACTTTAAACAATAAAGAATTTTAAAAAATAATGATTTTTACATCATTACTATTTGGAGCATGTACATACACTATTTTAATTAATATTAACTTGTTAATACTACATATAGAAGTCCATTTCAACCTGAATATATTATTGAAATAATAATTATGATCACTATATATGTATCTATATTATACATATAAAATCATGTTTTTTCTCAAAAAATATTTATCTTCTTAATTATTTAAATGTACGATAATGGGTTGGCATTATTATTAGGACAAATGGCAGTTTCCAAATTTTAAAGAAGATTAGCATATATGTTTGGATTTTTTTGTTCACATTTTTGTTTTTGTCAATAAAAACGTCTTTTATCCATGTACTTTAATACAAGCATTTCTTTTCAGCTATTCAAAATACTTACATCCAGGACCTGTTAGCTACCCCCCAAAAAATACCCCTTACAACTGTCAGAGCAATACAGGTAAGTGACACTTTTTTTTTCTTTAATGTAAGTGGAATAATATACTTAGTAAAACCCATTGCTATTCCCACAAATGCCTCTTGAATGTTTTTGCCTCCATCTCTTGGAATCCCTCATTTCATTCCATTTTATCAATATATGCTCATTATTTAATATTCAGTTCAGGAAACCCATATAGGAAGCCCTTCCTCCCCGAATAGCCACAAGACCCGGTCCTGTACTTACAGTAGTCTCTCTGCTCTTTCTCTTGATTCTTCACACTATTTTGTCCTTTGGTGCATTTATAGTTTATCCCTTTCTAGATTATAAGTGTTATAAAGACACAACCAACCACTGTATCACTGTGTTTTAGTTTCAAGTTGTTGGCTGTTTCATGCCTATCACTGTACCTTGTACCTAGCAAGTACTTCTAAACATTTATAGTTCATTTCTTACACATTGAGCCTCCTGTTGCCCTGGATAGAAAGAGATAAGCATAGAGCAAGACATACACAGATGATACTAAATGGCTTATGCTTGATCTTCATAGAGCTTTAACTTTTTCCTAAAAATGTTTTCTAAGTCTAAAATGTGTGAGAGTGTAGCTAGGGCAGGAAAGAAGGTTGAATTCATTGAAAGCGGGAATTGTGTCCTATAATCCATCGAAGTGTTGTCATGTTTACTCAGAGTTAGTGACTTTTACACAGGAGCCATGGCGTACTGCTCTACAAGGCTGAAGAGCAGACCGACTTATTCGTGGGTTGGCAGCCCATTGTTGGATCGAAAACTACACTACCAAACCTACAAGTGAGTGATTTGGTTGTCCTGGAAATATAACTTCTCTGGGCTAAACTGTTAATAACTTGTATCTAGCCTGTTCTCGTTACTATATATTGAGGACTGAGGGATAGTAAATATGAATTGATTGTAAGGAGAGGTTTCATTTGATGCAAGAAGATGGTAGCATAAATATAGCAGTTTAATGATAAAAGAAGACGTTAGGTTAATAAAATGTGATATGCATGACATTGTCATTTAAGGTAGAGTCTATGTAATTCTGCATAACAGGGTAGGGTTAAATGTTACTATGTGCTCCCAGCCCTAGAGATCCATGATTCATTTGATATTGTTATTGGGCAGCTTTTATGCCTTTGGAAGCCTTCGATAGAAGGCTGAGGGAAGTAGGGTTCATATTAAGGCTTCTGGATTAATCATTCATGCCAAAACAATTCATTCAACCCATTTTGTCTACTCTTGCATAGAAATTGGTGAATTGTTTTTCCAGTAGGAGAATTGGTCAGCAGAGAGAACTATTTAGGGGGTTTTCCAGTTGGAGAGCACTTTCCTAACATGTTCCCCTGTTACTTCCTAGAGAGATGAGTGTGACATCAAAAGGTTGTTCGACTGAGATTCGCATTCAAGTTGGACAGTTTGTGTTGGTTGAAGGGAATGATGATGACAATCCGTATGTTGCTAAATTGATTGAGCTGTTTGAAGATGGTGAGTTTTGGGTTGGAATGAAAACCATTCCTTGTCATGAATAATTGGGAAGTGCTAGGTGGTAGGGAAGGGGGGCAGTTACTGAAGCCTCTGTTCACAGCAGCATATAAGGTGTGAACCCTAGATTCTGAAGTGGGGTTACTTTAGCGCTAGCTGTACCTTCTTCCATCAAGTGGACTTCCTTACTAGAGCAGTATTGGATAAAATGGGATTTGGGCGGGGGGGGCGGGGGCTCAAGAATTTAGCTTTTCCATTATTTTTAGGAGTGGGTAAGTATGGCCATTAGGCTGGATTTTTGGAATGGAGTGAAAGGATGAATTCAGGAAGAAAGAGGAAGAAAAAAATAGGTGATTTGCTTTTTGATAGGCATAAAGATTAGTAATGAATTTTGCAAATTCTTAATGAGAGAGAGGGTAGGTTGATTGGTATGAGTTGATGTTCAGTCAGTAAAACAAAAACACTGTAGTAGGTGTTTTACCCAGAGGGACTTATGTTTAAGTGTTGAAAAACAAAAATGGTGTTTCCCAGAGATCAGTAAGTGCAGAAAGCCACTTCTGCCCCTAAAACTGGAAGAGGAAAGGGAAAGTAGTGCTAACCAGAGCCTGCCTCTTCCACGAGGAATTAGAGTTAATCCTGTGGCAATTTGGATGCCTAAAATAAAGGAACTGATAGAGTGAGTGGATAAAGATATTTTTACTAGTACATTACCTACATAGGAAGGATATTTGAGAGTATGGAGGAAAACCTCATCAAACTAATATCCACTAGGGCAGTGGTCGGCAAACTCATTAGTCAACAGAGCCAAATATCAACAGTACAACGATTGAAATTTCTTTTGAGAGCCAAATTTTTTAAACTTAAGCTATATAGGTAGGTACATTGTTATTTATTTTTTTAAAATATATTTTATTGATTTTTTACAGAGAGGAAGGGAGAGGGATAGAGGGCCAGAAACATCGATGAGAGAGAAACATCGATCAGCCGCTCCTGCACACCCCCTACTGGGGATGTGCCCACAACCCGGGTACATGCCCTTGACCGGAACCGAACCCGGGACCCCTCAGTGCATAGGCCGACGCTCTATCCACTGAGCCAAACCGGTTTTGGCGGTACATTGTTATTAACTTAATTATGGTACTCCTAAGCTGGCCTTTGTTAAAAACGTCCTCAGTCTGACTGAGGCACGTTCGCTGAGGTCGACCCCTTCCAACTGTCCCATCCACACTCATCTTGTATACTTGTTTCGTCTATCTCCTTTCATTCATCCTCTCTATATGTCCAAACCATCTCAACATACCTTTCTCAATCCTCGACACTACATCTTCTTTCACTCCACAACGTTCCCTAAAATTAACTTAATAAACTACTTTTGTCACCCGCGCGTGATTTGCGGACGCGACTAGCACTAACCACTGCACATGAGACTGCTGACTGACTGGCTCACTCAACTCGTGCATGAATCGCGCGTCTCCCGTCGCCCAACCGACGGACACCCCCACTTCTTCTAACGCCACTTCAAAATAGACTCGTCCAGGCCGAAAACTGACTTCTGTGCATGGGCCACAAAGTTTCAACCGCACTGTACATGCGCGTCTCCACATGGTATTTTGTGGAAGAGCCACACTCAAGGGGCCAAAGAGCCGCATGTGGCTCGCGAGCCGAGGTTTGCCGACCACTGTACTAGGGGGAGCACCTCAGCAGTATGGACTTCAGTATTTGAAGTATGGGCCCTGTGTGCAGATTTTAGAATCCTTGTGTGGTGCCTCAGTCTTTCTCTGAAGAGAGCAAAGGAAGAGAAGAGGCGATGATGGTGATGGCACTAGAGTGTATGTGCTTTTATTTGGAGCAATGCTGGTATGCAGTAATGTTAATGGTGTCGTACAATGATAACACTGAAGATTGCAAGCACATGTTTGCCGGAAGTCATTTCAGTGGCTGACACTGATTCTTGCCAGGATTTTTGCTTTTCTACTGTTTGATGGCTTCTTTATAAGCATTGATTTGTAGCCGAAACCGGTTTGGCTCAGTGGATAGAGCGTCGGCCTGTGGACTGAAAGGTCCCAGGTTCGATTCCGGTCAAGGGCATGTACCTGGGTTGCAGGCACATCCCCAGTTGGAGATGTGCAGGAGGCAGCTGATCGATGTTTCTCTCTCATCGATGTTTCTAACTCTCTATCTCTCTCCCCTTCCTCTCTGTAAAAATCAATAAATATATTTAAAAAAAACAGAATTGATTTATAATGTTTGGTTCAGTGCACTCGATTAGAATTGCTCCTCCTCAAATGCCTTTAGTAACTTTTTTGATGACTGACAGTCACAATTAGGAAGTGGTGGAGCAAAGAGAAGAACATGGGTGCGGGGGTCAGTCATATTGCTGCTGGATGGTCTTGTGACCATTGAAAAATCATTCTAAGGTCCCTGTAACTCGATTACTTTGCCTATGTAAGGGAGATAGCCATAGTCCCTACCTTGTAGGAGTATTGTGAGGGTTAAAAATAGTACGTTAATCAAGTATCATCAAGAGCTTAGCACAGTGTCTGACACAGATGAAG